AGGAGCTCCAGCTCCAGCAGCACGCCTCCAGCGGCGAGCAAACCACTCGCGCAGCTCCTGTGGAGAGAGCGGCTCCCGCCGAGACGGAGCAACCGGAGAGCCCCCAGGTCCAGCAGTCGCAGGCTCCGCACCTCCAGGCTCAGCACCCCCAGGCTCAGCAGCTCTTGACGTAGCACCCCCCGGCTCAGCACCCCCAGCAGCACCACCCCCAAGCTCAGCACCCCCCGGTCTCGCACCCCCAGGCTCAGCACCCCCAGCAGCAGCACCTCGAAGCTCAGCACCCGCAGGATCAGCACCCCCAGACTCTGCACCCGCAGCAGGACCCGACTCAGCAGCAACCTCGACCGGCTCGACTGTGTCTACCTGGGACACACTTGAAGGGGCAGGAACCTGAGGGGGGAGGGGGTCTACCGGGGGGGGAACTGGCACCAGGAAGTCCGGTGGGGGGGGGAGGGAAGGAGTACGGTAGGGGAAGAGGCGGTAGAAGGGGACTGACTCGTCGAACGTGACGTCCTGGGAGGACAGAACACGACGAGAGGAGGGGTGGTAGAACTGCCACCCTGGAGCGTCAGGGGGGAAGCCAAGGAAGACACAGGGAGCAGCACGGGGGGACAGCTGGTCCGCAGACAAGTCGCGGACAAACGCGCGAGATCCCCAGACACGGAACGCAGACGCATCGCCGACCTTCCCCGTCCACAGTAACACTGGGGACATATCGGGCCGAGAGACCCTGGGGTGAAGGTTGAGCTGATGCGCCGCGTACCGAACCGCAAACGGCCACAGAAAATGCGGGGCAGCCGCATGCATCATGGACGTACGAGCGACATCCATGACCATGCCAATGCGACGCTCAGCAATCCCATTTTGCTGTGGTGAGTCCGGAAGCGTAAAGGTCTGGCGGATCCCCTGTGCACGACAGTAGTCTCGCAGAAGGCGAGAGGAGAACTCCCCACCTCGGTCAGAGTGCAGACGCAGAACAGGAAAGTCCGAGCCGAAGCTCCTCCTGAGCTGGAGACGAGCCTCGCGGATCCAGTCGATCAGCACCCTAGTGACAGCACCCTTGCTGCGCAAGGGGAAGACTGTGGTGTAACGCGAGTAGTCGTCAACCACCAACAGGAAGTAGCGTTCGTGACCCTGCCCACGGACGGGGGCCGGGCCCCACACGTCCATGTGAAGTGTCTGCAGAGGAGCCTCTGTCGGGGGAAACTGGGAGGAGTGAGGAGCAGCCCTGAGGCGCCCCTCGACACAGGGGACACAGGAAGGTCCTGGTCTCGAAGGAAGGGGAGGGAGAGACTGGGGAAGACCAGAGACAAGGACACGGGAAGCCATGCCCCGAAGACGGGGCAAGGAGGGGTGGCCAAGACGGTGGTGCCACAGGAGAGTCTCGTGAGACAAGAGGCGACACGAGCAGGGGGCAGACTCAGGACCAGACCTGGACGCAGCAGCAAACACCTGACCTGACGCTGCTACCTGACCGGACGTAGGGACAGGAGGAGACTCAGTGGTCAGGGTGTAGAGGCTCGACCCCGGCCGACGCGAGAACGTGGCCAGGTGCCGGCCTGTGCGTGCGTTCGTGCAGTGGGTCACCCGCTGACTCGCAGGAGTGAACTGGTGAACCCCCGCATCCTGCAGGTCTGCACCACTCACCAAGTTCGTCGAGAACGAGGGGAGGTACAGGCCCGACAGGGTGCCCGAGGGGGCAGCCGGACACGGGAGGACAGTGGAAAAGTGAGCGAGGACAGGACCCCCAGAGGGGTCAGCCAGGGAGACTGCAACAGGCCGACCAAGCGGCGTGAGTGTGGTGCGGTCCCGAAAGAAGGAGCGAGAAGCCCCAGAGTCAAGTGTAAAGGTGAGGGAGGCCGAAGCCAACGTGGTACCTGAGAGTGCAGCCTCACCCGCACCTGAGGAAGCAGACTCACTAGCACCTAGAGCAGCAGCCGCACCTGTACCTGGAGCAGGAGACTCACTAGCACCCAGAGCAGCAGCAGCCTCACCAGTAGCTAGAGCAGCAGGTCCTATACCCGGGTCAGGCGGTACGCACAGGTGACCGGCACGGTCAGCACTAGTAGGCAATGCATACATGGCAGTGAGAATAGCATCATAGTCAAGAGCAAATATATCTACCCTCTGCCTAAGCAACTCCACCCAGTCGGGGAGCTCAGCCTCGTCGCCAAACACGATACGCCAGGCGTCGCTCAGACGGGCGAAGCAGCGGGACTGTGTATGACTAGGTGTCCCACAAGGCTGACCAGTCCGAGCACCAGTGAGAATCACGTAAGAGCAGCGAACAGGAGTGAGAGACCCTCCACTCTGAGCGTACCACTCACAAAGCTGCTGAGGCGTGGGAGACGCGCGCGGGGGTCGCGGGAGCTGCATCTGGCCGCCACCAGTAGTAGAAGCAGCAGGAGTGGTAGCAGTAGTAGCGCCACCACCCCTACAGCCCCAACCAGCGTACCACTCACGCAGCTGCTGGGGCGTGAGGGACTCACGCAGACGTCGATGGGGCCGCATCTGGCTCCACCAGTAGAGGCAGGAGCAGGAGTAGCAGCAGTAAGGCAGGCAGCCAGGCAAGCCAAAAAGGGAGGCAGGCAGGCAAGCAGGCGACGCGCAGCGTGCTAGCAGGGCAGGGGCTCACAAGTGGTGGGTAGAGTAGGCTCGGCGACTCAGAGGCTCGGCAGCACGGCGGCTCTGCGGCTCGGGCGACTCGGGCGGCTCGGCGGCAGGGCGGCTCGGCAGCAACTGCAGCTCGGCAACTCGGCGACCCGGCGGCGCGGCTGTAGGGCGGCTCGGCTGCTGGGAGGCTCGGGTGAAGAGCGGCTCGGCTGCAGGGCGGCTCGGCTGCTAGGAGGCTCGGGTGTAAAGCGGCTCGGTGGCGAGGCGGCTCGGCTGCAGGGCGGCTCGAGACGAAGGAGGAGGAGAAGTAGGGGAGACCACACACCGCAAGCGGCCCCCTCAGGTCGCCTCGACAGGCGACGGGAAAAGGGGGGGGGGGGAGGCGGCTCGGGCGGCTCGGGCGGCTCAGGCGGCTCGGGCAGCTCGGGCAGTCAGCGGCACAGGCGGCTCGGGCGGCTCGGCTCCTCAGCTGCGCAGACGGCTCGGGCGGCTCAGGCTGCACGGCGGCTAACGGGCGGCGTGGGGGGCCAGGACGGCGGCGTGCAGCAGGGACGGGCGGCGCACGGGCGGTGTGAGGCCAGGACGGGCGCGCGCGGGCGGCTAGGGGCCGGGACAGGCGCGCGCGGGTGGCTAGGGGCCGGGACGGGCGGTGCGCGGGCGGCTAGGGGCCTGAACGGGCGGCGCGCGAGCGGCTAGGGGCCGGGACGGGCGGCGCGCGGGCGGCTGAGGGCCGGGACGGGCGGCGCGCGGGCGGCTAGGGGCCTGAACGGGCGGCGCGCGAGCGGCTAGGGGCCGGGACGGGCGGCGCGCGGGCGGCTAGGGGCCTGAACGGGCAGCGCGCGAGTGGCTAGGGGCCAGGACAGGCGGCGCGCGGGCGGCTAGGGGCCTGAACAGGCGGCGCGCGAGCGGCTAGGGGCCGGGACAGGCGGCGCGCGGGCGGCTAAGGGCCGGGACGGGCGGCGCGCGGGCGGCTAGGGGCCTGAACGGGCGGCGCGCGGGCGGCTAGGGGCCGGGACAGGCGGCGCGCGGGCGGCTAGGGGCCTGGAGGGCAGGCCGAAAGAGTGAGAGCGAGGGCCCGGAGCGCGCTCCGGGCAGAAAAAAGTTTAAAAGTGGTGGGCCCTATGCACAGTTCCCACGGGGGAACCTGCTCGATACCATGTGGAGAATAGAGCGAGAATGAATGAACTATGAGTGAAGTGAGTACAAATGGCAAAACCCTAATTGGGTTGTACCCCCTATGGTATACCCCACTGTAGCCTACACAACAGCATAAGCTACATATATGTGTCAGAGGTCCACTGGTGATCCCCGATCGATCCTAGGGAAGGGTTGCAAGCACATTTGCCTGGGGGGTTATGGGCGCACTGACCCGCTACTGAAACAAGCCCTTTTATCCCAATGGTCTAGTGGTTGGGATTCTGAGATGGTATCAGAGCGAAGGTCTCGGGTTCGAATCCCGGTGTATGCACTTCGGGCATCCCAGTGCGGGGGGGTGTCAGAGGTCCACTGGTGATCCCCGATCGATCCTAGGGAAGGGTTACAGGCACATTTGCCTGGGGGGTTATGGGCGCACTGACCCGCTACTGAAACAAGCCCTTTTATCCCAATGGTCTAGTGGTTGGGATTCTGAGAATATGTTCTGACAGCAGCTTCATGCGAGCTTGCTCCGAGGCGGATACATGCTCGAAGCGAACTCGTAAGGCTGCGCCCCACTCCTTCCACGTGCGTATTTTAGTCACACCAAAGATTGGTTCTGCCACTTGATTAACCACTGTAGAGGTCCCGTCTGCCGCATGTGTCACACCTATCGGAGTCCCTGTTTCTAAGGTCCGGCGCCACCACTCAAGCGCCGCGCCCTGTTAAGATACTAGCGTTTAGAGGGCTTAGGAGCCATTGCTAGTGAGATCTTAGAAGCTAAGGTTTAGGGTTGAAGTGAAGTGTCAAGAAAGCTGAGAAGGGGAAATGAGCTGTTTCACTATAGGTTGGCAACAACATATAGCAAAGAAACAAAGAAGGTGCACCACCAAACAAAGTTTATAATAACTACACTAACTATAGCTACAGGCAGTTACAAATATATTATAACACTCCCCCATAACGGCCTGCAGCAAAAGCTAATGCAGAGACACCCCCTGAAGGGGTACACCATGCGCAGTAGAAGGAGAGGGCAAGTGAGGAGGAGGGACTATATGAGGAGAGGCTGCTGGCAGGTGAAGCTGCTGGCTCCAAGGCGGCTGCTTCCTGGAACCTTCCTCAGTCCTCCAACTCCCCTTCCACACTCCTTGACAACCCTAGCACCTCTCCCCCAGCTCCCCCACACCCTCACACCCACCCCCCCCAGCGGCAGCTGCAGCAGTGGGAGAGAAAGGAGGAGGAGGGGAAGGGGATCACACACACCCATCACCCCCATACCCGCCACCCCATAGCCTCCCTTCCACGGCTGCACGCGCAGCAAGGAGACAAAGAAGGGGGGGGGGGGGGGGGGGGGGGGGGGCAAGGGCGACAGAGCAGAATAGAGCGCACAAGGGCGCAGGCAGCAGCAGGGCGCACGAGGGCGCGGGCAGCAGCAGAGCGCACGAGGGCGCAGGCAGAGCAGAGCGCACAAGGGCGCGGGCAGCAGCAGGGCGCACAAGGGCGCGGGCAGCAACAGAGCACACGAGGGCTCAGGCAGAGTAGAGCGCACAAGGGCGCGGGCAGCAGCAGGGCGCACGAGGGCGCGGGCAGCAGCAGAGCGCACGAGGGCGCAGGCAGAGCAGAGGGCACAAGGACGCGGGCAGCAGCAGGGCGCACGAGGGTGCGGGCAGCAGCAGAGCGCACGAGGGCGCAGGAAGAGCAGAGCGCACAAGGGTGCGGGCAGCAGCAGGGCGCACGAGGGCGCGGGCAGCAGTAGGGTGCACAAGGGCGCGGGCAGTAGCAGAGCGCACGAGGGCGCAGGCAGAGCAGAGCGCACAAGGGCGCGGGCAGTAGCAGGGCGCACGAGGGTGCGCGCAGCAGCAGAGCGCACGAGGGCGCAGGCAGAGCAGAGCGCACAAGGGCGCGGGCAGTAGCAGGGCGTACGAGGGCGCGAGCAGCAGCAGAGCGCACGAAGGCGCAGGCAGAAGCAGGGCGGCAACAGGCAGCAAAGGCACGAGCAGCAACGGGCGGCAACGGGCAGCACAGGCACGGGCAGCAACGGGCGGCAATAGGCAGCACAGGCACGGGCAGCAACGGGCGGCAACAGGCAGCACAGGCACGGGCAGCAACGGGCAGCACAGGCACGGGCAGCAACGGGCGGCAACGGGCAGCACAGGCACAGGCAGCAACAGGCAGCACAGGCACGGGCAGCAACGGGCGGCAACAGGCAGCACAGGCACGGGCAGCAAAAGGCAGCACAGGCTCGGGCATCAACGAGCGGCAACAGGCAGCACAGGCACGGGCAACAACAGGCAGCAAGGGCAGCACAGGCACGGGCAGCAGCGGGCGGCACAGGCACGGGCAGCAACGGGCGGCAACAGGCAGCACAGGCACGGGCAGCAAAGGGCAGCACAGGCACAGGCAGCAACGGGCGGCAGCAGGCAGCACAGGCACGGGCAGCAACAGGCAGCAACAGGCAGTAGCAGGGCGCACGAGGGCGCGAGCAGCAGCAGAGCGCACGAAGGCGCAGGCAGAAGCAGGGCGGCAACAGGCAGCAAAGGCACGAGCAGCAACGGGTGGCAACGGGCAGCACAGGCACGGGAAGCAACGGGCGGCAACAAGCAGCACAGGCACGGGCAGCAACGGGCGGCAACAGGCAGCACAGGCACGGGCAGCAACGGGCAGCACAGGCACGGGCAGCAACGGGCGGCAACAAGCAGCACAGGCACGGGCAGCAGCGGGCGGCAACAGGCAGCACAGGCACGGGCAGCAACGGGCAGCAACAGGCACGGGCAGCAACGGGCGGCAACGGGCAGCAAAGGCACGGGCAGCAACAGGCAGCACAGGCACGGGCAGCAACGGGCGGCAACACGCAGCACAGGCACGGGCAGCAACAGGCAGCTCAGGCTCGGGCATCAACGAGCGGCAACAGGCAGCACAGGCACGGGCAACAACAGGCAGCAACGGGCAGCACAGGCACAGGCAGCAACGGGCGGCATCGGGCAGCACAGGCACGGGCAGCAGCGAGCGGCACAGGCACGGGCAGCAACGGGCGGCAACAGGCAGCACAGGCACGGGCAGCAAAGGGCAGCACAGGCACAGGCAGCAACGGGCGGCAACAGGCAGCATAGGCACGGGCAGCAACAGGCAGCAACAGGCAGCACAAGCACAGGCAGCAACAGGCAGTACAGGCACGGGCAGCAACGGGCAGCAACGGGCAGCAACAGTCAGCACAAGCACAGGCAGCAACAGGCAGCACAGGCACAGACAGCAACAGGCAGCACAGGCACGGGCAGCCATACCGAGTCCAGGCGCTCGGCTGCAACGCTGGCGCGGGCGCGGGTGAGGCAGAGGCGGTGGCCAGGGGGGAGGGCGCCGCGACAAGCAGAGACGGCGCCCAAGGAGTGCCGCTACGAGCACGGGCGACGCCCCAGGGGCGCCGCAACGAGTAGGGGCGGCGTCCAGGGGGCGCCGCGACGAGCAGTGGCGACGCCCCGCGGGTCCCGCAGTGGCGTCGCAACGAGCAAGGCGACGCCTTGCGGGTCCTGCAGGGGCGTCGCGACGAGCAGGAGTGGCGACGCCCGGGTCCCGCAGGTGCGTCGCGATGAGCAGGAGCGGCGCCTCGCATGGCGCCGCGAAGTGGAAGGTACGGGCGGGCAAATCAGGCCCGCCCGTGGACGTGAGGCAGGCGCGCAGGCGGCGTGAGAGCAGGCCACGCGCGGGGCAGGAAGACGCCGCGCGCCCAGGGCCTGCCCTCACGCCGCCTGCGCGCCTGCCTCACGTCCACGGGCGGGCCTATCGCTGCGCCCGTCGCTGTTTCTACGCACCGACACTACTCTGCCGCCGTTCTACATCCTCGTGTACGTCGACGACTTGGTTTTTGCTACTGCTGACACTGAGGCACTGACCTTAGTGAAGTCGGAGCTGTAGGCGAGACACAATTGTACTGACCTGGGTGAGTTGCGGAGCTATCTTGGCTTGCAGATCACCCGGGACAGAGCACGCCGCACCATCACCCTGACTGAGTCACACATGGTGCAGCAGGTCCTTTGGCGCTTCCGCTTCACGTGGTCCTCACCACAGCCCACTCCTCTGTCTACAGGCCACTCGCTCTCAGCTCCACCTTCGGACGAGTCCGTAGAGCCGAGTGGTCCGAACCCAGAGCTTGTCGGCTGCCTCATGTACCTGATGACGTGCACACAAACTGACCTTGCGTACCCTCTCAGCCTCCTGGCTTGCTATGTGGCACCCGGTAGACACCGAAAGGTGCACTTTGATGCTGTGAAGAGGGTACTGCGTTACTTGTGTAGCACATCGGGCATGGGGCTCGTGCTTGGAGGACGGGGTTCGCTGGTCCTCACAGGACACTCTGACGCTTCTTAGGCCGACGACCAGACGACTCACCGTTCGTGACAGGGTTACACCGTCAGTCTTGGCTCTGGATCTATCTCGTGGAGGTCCACTCGTTCTTCTTCTGTGGTTGGTTCCAGCTGTGAGGCCGAGATCTACGCTGGGGCCATGGCTGCACAAGAGCTACGCTGGCTGACCTACCTGCTGACCGACTTGGGGGAGCAGCCTCGTTCTCCTCCAGTTCTGTATGTTGACAACAAGGCAATGCTTACCTTGTGTTGCAAGCAGAGACTCGAGCACCGAACAAATGTAACTATTCTCAATATCTTGAGGTGTACCCTTTTTTTGCGGGCTTCGCGATCACTTGAATTCTTCACCATAAACCCATCCTTGAGTTCTTGATTGGTCTGTTGCACACACATGCGACACGCCGAACGTTCCACACACGACAAAATAGAAACCGCACACGAGACACAAACGACCGCGTGACACGCGACTAGCATTCACACACTATTATAAGCATTAAAAATATACTATCACATGCCCTCACACCATTCTATGCACACACGCATGCACGCACACAAACAGCAAGTCGAGTGCAAACCGTAGGTTGCACCAACAGGTGGAGCAGCATAAAGGGGATGGAGAGGGAAAGCAGAGGGAGTGGTACCGTAGTTGCCTCTCGACAATATGATTGCAGCAGAGGCACATAGAGCTGTAACAGCCGAGGAACAAACGAGTGACCCAGGAGGACACAACTTCCATCATCCAAAGGTGCAGCTTGAAGGATTCAGGCCTTAAATGACTCTTCCCTCGACAGAATTACTGCAGGGGAGGCATTAAGCGTTGTAGCGTCTGGTGGAGGCCAAAGTGCACAATTGGCTAAAAAGCCAACTATGTTCCAATCCAGAGCTGCTTTAGTGCATAAGACCTAAATGGGACATTTGTTCACTGAATATTGTGACAGTTGGAACAATGTATGCATTGATGGTTACGTTGTGGCAAGTGACTGAGTTGTATAGGAATATATTCTCTCAAGTTCTTCACCAGATGTATTTTGTTGTAAGATATCTCAATTGATGCATTCTGCTGGCTAATTTCGTATGGTTATCGAATTATCGAGTCCCTCTAAACTTTTCGAGTCGCACTCACGGAGCGCAGTGACCCCCTGGACTATCTCACCATTATTGGATCAATCTTCAGGGTGATCACACGAGCTGCTTTCAGATTCGGAACATTTTAAAAACAAACAGAACGGTGACGTCTGGTAACAGGGAGTTCTTAGGACATGCCGTTCCACTAAATCCTAGATGCAAGGTCACAAAATTATTGCCCGTCGCGGACGAGTGACTTTTGACAGCACCCGTTTCCGCGCCCCACACAGACTTCCCAAATTTCCCAGTTCTGCTGAGCTCTCTCCACCTTCACTGCAACTCGCGCCGAGCCCAGCTTTAGAATTATAGCCTGAGCATTCGTTGCCTGAGCGGAGCGGAGAACCTCACTGAAGAAAGGGACGCAATTATACGAGGTGCATCACGTTCAGAGTGAGATGGCGCCGCGCGAGACGAATACTCGGACGCAGGCCCGGTGACTAGATTTCGCGACCTCGTCACGCGATTTTCAGCTGCCTAGAACTTGCCGCGTCGCGTCCTCTATGTCCATCCATCTAAGGCTTAGGAATGGACTATATATATCTGTTCGGTTTCACTCAACAATCAAATCATTTCGAAGCCATCCGCCTTCAATCATCAGTCTCTCGGACTTCAGGACTGGAATTTCTAGCGCCGTCGGATAATCGCTGCGACAAGTCTCTGTTTTCGGCATGGCCTTCACTCCGGCTCGCGCCTTACTCTTAGGTACTAGCGTGAACGATTGCAGATTCTTCAACTGCTTGTTAGCCTAAAAATCAGCTTCAAGGCATCTTCGCCATTTGCTGATGTTGATCATCATCACATCATGATGCACGGAACGCCTTAAAACAATGACTTACGCCGCCAAATTTCCGGACTTAATTTCGTATCGCATGTGTTTGCGTGCAGCTTTCCTAGCGGCAATGCTCGCAATTGCACACTGCAGTCACGAGCATGTCGGTAAGATCCCTTGCTCCCTCCCCCTTCACTAAGAGTCTGATTCGTCACGTTTCTCAATAAATTCATCCTGTCATCCTGTCAGCATCAACTCTCTCTTCACTATATTTCACCGTGTTCTACTCATGTCGCACCAACTCATCTCCTCACTCTCATTCTCTTACCCTCGCTCCCCCGGTCGTCCATGCCTTCACAGACACCTTCTCAGCGAAGCTGCTAGGAGCGAACGAGGTTCCCAAGAACGACTCCCAAGCTGCGAAGAACGCGGTCGGCGACCAACGCGGCGTCGCCTACATGAAGCTGAACATTTATATGTGAGTAACACGCTGGCTGTTGACGAAAGTGTAGAAAACACTCGACCATCGCTCGCTCGAACATCACACATTCTCTCGTGCGACGTTCCTCTGATCCCACAACCTCCGTGCGTATTTCCATTATGATTATCTAAAACCGCTGCTACCATTTGCAGGGATGACGACAAACCCAAGTGGGTGAAATACACGGTGAAAACCAGTCGGCTGAAAGGCGAGATGCCGCCCACCAAGACGCACGTGCACAAGGGGGAGAAGGGGAAGAACGGCGATGTCCTTCTCGACCTTCCTTGCCATTACGAGAAGAAGGGCAACGAGGAGTGGCGGTGCGAGGGCTCTCTCGGGAAATACAAGGAAGATCGCTCGGATTCGCTGCTCTCGGCTCTTAAGGATATTGTTAAGAAACCCAACGGACATTACGGTAATATCCACACTAAGCGGTTTCCTGATGGCGCCGTGCGTGGTCAGTTCGCGAAGGAGTAGGAAAATGGAGCGGGCGAATCTTGTACTGGTAGAGAATACTAGTGAAGGTACTGCTGCCACTCCTTGTGGTCGTGTGTGCCAGAATAAGGGAGCAGGTGGTCAGGCCTGTTTGATTTGATTTTAACGTATCAATAGTTTTTTTTGTCACAAGCATGTTTATTGAAAGAGGATTGCTGTGATAGCAGAAAGCAGAAACTCCACCAGCAATCCTAGTATTTCCTGTCTCCACCAGTAAACCTAGTATTTCCTGTACCCACCAGCATGTTTTTATGCACTGGGTATTTTGGCTGTAAGAGTGAAGCGTATAGACCCTCAGGTGGATGCACAAGAGCATTGATTTAGGTGTTTGGAAAACATCTGCATATCAAATTGCTGTAGGAGAAGCTGTGCGGCTGTTGTCAGCTCTCCAGAATGTACGGTAGGGTTTCACAGGGTTAGGGTGGTTTATCAGCAGCAAAAGCAAGATATTGCCGCTGCTTGTGGTGGTGTGAGCACTAGGAGAATGGGAGAACAGGCAGGCAGTAAGTACTGTAGGATCCTGTAATGGGTACCAGAAGCCAGGTGTATGTTATGAGTTGTAAAGAGAGAGCGCAGGTAAACGAATAACGAGGCTGTGACTGAATGAATTGAGAATACAATGAATGCACAGACTAATGTAGGGCTAGCCTAACCAGGAGAAAACCTCGGGAGGCGAGGTTGGGTGCAAGTTTGGCGATGGGAATGCCGAAGGCGACGTGAGGAGCCTCGGCAGCGTTGAAATCGGCCGAACGTGCGAACTCCGAAAATCGGGTTGTACGCGAAGCAGTCAACCCCGATAAGGAATTCGGAAAATTCCTTACAGTACCCCCCCCTTTGAGAAAGGCGGTCAATATCCGCAACACGCCGGCGCGCCAAGTAATCACCAACAAGTGTCGAGGCGTCGATTGAAGCGGATGGCACCCACGTGTCGTCTTCATAGGTGCGATCAGTCCATCGGATTAAGAAATCCACGTGTCTGCCAGCTGCGTCAAGGCGAACCCGGTGAGCCAGGATTTTCGAAGGGTCAAGGGTCGGCTCCGGAACAGGTCGT